AATGGTAGTCCCTACCACACTCATGATTTCTGTAGACCCCTCCGTATCTCCAGATAACGTGTGCCACTTTGGGAGGAGGGAAAATTCAGTGCTTATACATCATTGCTTTTAAACTATATCTATTTTTTTTTAACCTAAGTATTTTTTTTCTTTTCTTTATTTTTCATTATTTGTTTGTTTTGGGGGGTTATTGTTGTTTGGTTTTGGTTTTGGTTTTTCAAGAGATGATTTCTCTGTATAGCTATGGCTGTCCTGGAACTCGCTCTTTAGACCAGTCTGGCCTCTGCCTGAGTTTACAGAGATCCGCCTGCCTCTGCCTCCCAAGTGCTGGGATTAAAGGAGTGTGCCACCACTGCCCAGCTATTTTGGTTTGTTTTATCACTTTGAGACAAGATCTCATAGGCCCCAGTCTGGCTTGACCTTGTTATGTAGCCAAGGATGACCTTGAACTTCTTGTCCCAAGTGCTGAAATTACAAGCATGGGCCATCACACACAAATGGTTCTTTTTATTAAAACAGGCCTTGTTACCTCAAACTTCATACTCAAGCAATCCTTCATATTACCTTGGACTACAGGCGTGTGAGCCATTGCACCCAGCTGTAATTTTTCTTTTTTTTTTTTCTTTTTTTTTTTTTGGTAAACCTATTTTTGATAGAGGGAAGTAGAGAAATTTATTCCAAACTCTAAATGACAATGGTTTGCCTTCCAACACTGTATCAGTCACCTCATCTGTGAAGAGTACAAATGATACATTCGTTTGGAAAGAAGTGCTACATGAAGGATATGGAGCCTATTAGAAACCACATACGGGGCTGGAGAGATGGCTCAGAGGTTAAGAGCTCTTCCAGAGGTCCTAAGTTCAATTCCCAGCAACCACATGGTGGCTCGCAACCATCTGTAATGAAATCTGGTGCCCTCTTCTGGCCTGAAGGTATACATGCAGGCAGAACACTGTATACATAATAAATAAATAAATAAATAAATAAATAAATAAATAAATAAATAAATAAATAAATAAATCTTAAACAAAAAACGAAACTACATACCACTGCTAAGTGGAAATTTGTATCCATGGTCCCCAACAGAGGCTGTTAAATATGGGCTTCATGGGTGCTAGGTGAATGTTCTCTCACTGAGCTATTAACCAGTCTTTATATGAATTCTTTGAGCTGAGCTCAAGGTCTTTGGTTTATTGAAAAGCCAAAGGAACCTAGTGTGATGGTAGCCTCACACAGGTTCTCTTGGCATGAAAAGGATAACAGGTCTGTCATCTTAAGTTATTGGGGTGGCCTGGGCAGAAGGATTGCACATTCAAGACCAGCCTGTACTATAGAGCAAATCCTGTCTGAGCAATTTATCCAAACACTGTCAAAATAAAATGTCAAAGGAGGGCTAGGAAATATAACTCAGAGTGCTTGCCTAACATACTCAAAGCCCTAGGTTCAATTTACAGCAGAGAAAAAGAAATATGTCTTAGCTTCAGATGCTGTATTCAAAACCCTCAAAACAATAACCAGGAGACAAAGTGAAATGGCTCAGTGAGTAAAGGTGCTTGGTAGTGCAGCCTTGAAGACCTGAGTCAATCCCCAGAACCCACATAGCAATGGAAGGAGAGAACCAAATCCACAAAGTTGTCCTCTGACCTCCACACGTGTGCTGTGACATGCACATCTGTGCATACACATCATACATAGAATAATAAGTACATAGATCCTCAAAATAGGCTAGTGATGCAAGCATGACTATAAACCCTCTGTGAAGGATGAGGAAACTGGTATACAGGAAAGCAAAGTGGCCAGCTAGAGCTCACGACTGCTAGGAGAAGCACTGGACTCTGATATTCTCTCTCTCTCCCCCCTCCCCCCCCCTTCTGCCCCTCCCTTCCACAGAATGCAAGGATGTGAACAAGGTGGCCTACTGCCCCCTGGTGCTCAAATTTCAGTTCTGTAGCCGAGCCTACTTCCGCCAGATGTGCTGCAAGACCTGCCAAGGCCGCTAGGGGTGTGCAGCACCAGGAGCCACCCCGGAGCACAGGCTAAGGGGAAAGTCCACCGGAGAGGGCCTGAGGGAGTGGGGGCTAGGACTGAACAGTGAGATGTAGTTGAAAGTTATTTATTGGGTAACCCCTATAGAACTCCTGGCTAGGGGATGGAGAAGAGCTGGCTACCCAGGGACCCTCTCCTTGCCCAGTTGACAGTGAAGGGAGAGGACTGCCCCTTGTTGCACACATCTTTAAGTCCCCAACACTCCCCCACCTTTGATCGGAATATGTACTGTGAAGAGTGGGGGTGGGGAGGGGGTATGCCGGTGCCCTGCCCCCCAGCACTGTTCTATCCCTCCACTCTGAGCTGGGGGGATTTATATCTGCTATGGGGAGTGGGATTAATACCACCTCCCTGTGACCCTCCTCCAGACTGACCAGGGGAAAGATCTGCCCCAACCTCCACCCTGCTTGCCCCAGGGGGAGCCCAACATCTAGGCTACCCCCACCATGGTGCTAACCAGCCCTACCCTGGGGCCCACACACTCCTCACCAAGAAGCATTACATCAATAAAGTTCTGTCTTGTATAGATTTCTGCTCACGAATGAGTCTGTGTCTCTGTATAGGCATCTATCTCATAAAGGGAACACAGCTAGGGTTGGCAAGATGTCTCAGTGTGTAAAGGCACTTGCTGCCAAGCCTAACTATCTAAATTTAATCTCTGGGACCCACATGGTACAAGGAGAAAACTAACTCCTATAAATTGTACTCTGCCCCCCCACAAGCTTGCTGTGGCTTATGTGTCCACACACATGAATGAATAAACAAACTAAAAGATCTTTTAAAAGTGGGGCAGGTCGCCGGGCGGTGGTGGCGCACGCCTTTAATCCCAGCACTCGGGAGGCAGAGCCAGGTGGATCTCTGTGAGTTCGAGGCCAGCCTGGGCTACCAAGTGAGTTCCAGGAAAGGCACAAAGTTACACAGAGAAACCCTGCCTCGAAAAACCAAAAAAAAAAAAAAAAGTGGGGCAGGTGCCCACACTTCCTAATGGGTCATCTTTGGCTGAGAGAGAGGACTTTGACCACTACAAATAAAAAACTATCATTTGCCAGGTGGTGGTGACACACACTTTTAATCCCAGCACTTAATCCCACACTAATCCACAGCAGAGGCAAGTGGATCTCTGAGTTCAAGGCCAGTCTGGTCTACAGAGCAAATTCCAAGACAGCCAGGGCTACACAGAGAAACCCTGTCTTGAAACAATCATTTTAAGATAAAAGTACAGTTTCTAATAGAAGCTTTCAAAGGTCCAGTCTCCTTGTACTCCCAACCAAATGTGGTCATTCTGCCCCTTTTTACATACTGAGTTGATCCTGGATATTGGAGACGGGGCTTCTCAGCTATGACCAGGAGGGGGCACACTTCATCAAGAGAGCACAGGACACAGAGACATCCCATTCCTCAGACATGGACCAAAGATGGATCTGAACACAGGTCCCTGCTAGACTCAAGGGTCTGGTTCAGTCTTAGCCACATCCTCAGTGGGTGGCATGAAAAAGTGACAACCACTTTGTTTTGTTTTTTGAGACAATGTTTCTCTGTGTAACAGTTGTGGTTGTTCTGGAACTATCTCTGTAGACCAGGCTAGCCTCAAACTCACAGAGATCCGCCTGCCTCTGCCTCCCCCTCCCGAGTGCTGGGATTAAATCATGTGCCACCACTGCCCGGCTAGGTGACAACCTCTTGGAACTGCCATTTCCTCAAATGTCAAGAGAAGACTCAGGTGAGATCTGATCTTCCAAAGATCAAGGATTAGGATGGTGGGCCCTATATGCTCTCATGACTGCTGGTAAAGCCAAGTCATGAAAATAGCAAAGCTGCAGGTATGAAAACCCAGATTGGGCCAAGAGTAATGGTGCATACCTTTGGGCCTAGCACTCCAGAGGCAGAGGCAGGATGATCTCTGAGATTGAGGCTAGCCTACTTTGCATAGCAAATTCCAGACCAGTTAGAATTACATAGTGAGACCCTGTCTTACAAAAACAAAAATCCACAACAAATTCAGATATGTGGCGAGCAGGGGTGGAGGGGCTGGATAGATGGCTCAGCTGCTATGAGCGCTTCCTGATACTCCAGAGTACTTCAGTCCAATTCCCAGCACCCACATCAGATGATTCACAACTCCCTGTAACTCCAGGCCCAGGAGATCCAGTGCCTCTGGTTTATACACACATACTTGTGAGTACAATTATTTGAAGTAAATCTTGTTTTTTGAAGGCCAGATCTGGGGCTAGGCCTTTAAAAGCATGAGTTTGAATCCCCAGAATCCACATAAAGCCAGATAGTAGTGGCAAATATCTGCATCCCCAGTGTTCCAACATTGAGATGGGAGGTGGAGACAGGAGAATCCCAGAAGCTTGCAGGCCAGCTAGCCTGGCTTCCACAGTGGGAAAACAACAGAGGCACCTGTCTCGGAGGTGGGGGCTGATAGCTGGCCTCTGAGGTTGTCTCCTGACCTCCACACACATACACACACCCACACTCAAACACACAAACACAAAGATGGATTTTAAAAGAGAGAGAAGTCCAGATCTGACATGCAAAATTATATACCTTACATAGGCATAAAGCTTGCGGTGTCTTCCACTTCCTTTGTCCTTACTAACACACCTGGGTTTGGAGGAACATTCTCCAGGGGGAAGGGGTTTTCACGAGAACACCCAGAGTAGACACACATCTGAAATGGCACTTCCCTTCCTTGACTCTGAAGAGAGAGACCTCAACTATGTGGCCAGTCCTGTAGTCAGCTGACCTAGGTGCTTTTTGCTGTAGCCTCTTTTCTTGAGGAGGTAGATGGAGAAGGGGCTTTCTCCAGTCTGGCAGTGGCTGCCAGCCATCTTTAACCTATCCCTTCAGGCTCCAAACTCCGACCAACTTCAGCTGGGCCATTGCTGCTAGGGCTCAGAGCATTGTCCCCGCCCTCAGCTTCCCTCCCCTGTGGCCATGGCCCCTCCCGTCAAAGGAAGTGAGAGAGGGGCTGTTGCAAGAGGAACTGGGGCCAACAGTCTGAAGAAGGAATAAGTGAAGAAGCAGGGCCATGCCTGAGCCACCCCCCAGAAGCTCCTGAGCCTGCACCTCTGTCACTACCCACAGGAGCCCAGACACCAACCCTCACCATGGTAAGTTCTTCAAGGGGGGGCTCTGGGAGTAATGCCCTGGTGGCAGTGCCCTAAGCACCCTCAGAAATTGGGGCAATGGTTAAGAGAATTGCAGAACCTTGGGGGAGGGACTCCCACAGAGTAGCACAGGGCAGTCCCATGTCCTCCACCAGGAATCAAGTACTAATGTAAGGGTGCCAGATTGGCTATGGGGACCAAGACTGCAGAGTAATAGGAACAGAGAAGGTGTTGTTAAGGGGATTACACAGTTTGCAGGGAAGGGACCTGTCCCTTTCCAGGGGCTTAGAGAATCCTCTCAGACACTAGCCTTCCCCTGTGGTTTGAAACAAACACTTCCCCCTGTCTTGGCCTCTGTTCCCAAAGCTCATATTTGGAAGTTCGTCTAGAGATGGGAATGTTTCTGGGGTGTGGGACTCTCATTGGAAACATTCATGGGGGTCTGTGGGTTTGACCACTGTGAGTCCACTAGTGGTGGGACTGGCTGTGTCTCACATGAGAGCTGTGGGGTGTGGTAGCAGTGCAAATGATGATAGGTGGTTTCACTGTAACAGTCTCAGAGGCAGATGGTAGCTCAGTGGTAGAGTCCTTGGCTAGTATGCTCAAGGTCCTGAGTGCCATCTCTAGCACTGAAAATAAACCATCATCGTCGTCGTCATTTAACTTCCAGTTAATATTACTGAAGAGGAGAAGTTGGAGATGTGGGGGTGGGGCAGGAGATAGCAAAGGAGGAGGAAGAGAAGGAGCTAGAAGAAAAGAAGAAAAACAGGAAAGGGAGGAGGTATAGAAAGAGGAGGAGGAGGAGACAGGACTAGATGACAAAGGATGGAAGGGTACAAAGGATGAGAGACTGTGTTCTCACTACTACATGGGGATGGGAGTGGAGATACTGCAGCCAGAGATGTCACTACAAGTTCAAGGCCTGCTGATGATGACAAGGCTGGGGGATGATCAACATCTAGACATGCTGTCTAGACCCAGCAGCATCATGGCATGCACAACAAAAGCCAGGAGTGGTCACACAAGTCACCCCTGTGGCTCCACAAACCCACAGTCTACTTCAGCTTTCATTTTTTGTCATTCTATCAATGAGAATAAGGGTATGCTCCAAGGAGAGGGGTAGCTGTTGGGGTCCTTGGGGGTTACAGCGATTATGCCTGGAGTGGAGGCAGGGAAGCAGGGTAAGAGAGACCATCTTTTAGAAAGCCAGTGAGGGCTGAGGCTGTGCTCAGTAGGTACAGCACTTGCTGGCATGCACACAGCCTTGGATTCTATCCTGAGCATCACACAAACTGGGCGTGGTGCTGCACACCTATTGTCCCAGCACTTGGGAGGTGGAGGCAAGAGTTTAAAGTCATCATTGACTATATAGCAGGTTCAAGGCCAGCCTGGGCTACATGAGACTCTGTGTTTAAAAAAAAAAGAAAAAGAAAAAGAAAAAGAAAAACAGGAAGAGATTTGCCGCTTGAAAGGAAGGGAAACCCCTCCTAGGCTGCCAACACTGTGAAATGCTTAGTCAACAGACTGCTTAGCAGACAGATCTGAGGGGAAAAATGAGTCAAAGTGAACAGTGATGAAACCTGGAGCCAGGTATAGTGGCACACAACTGGAGACTGAGACAGAGAATCATGAATTGGAGGCCAGCCTGTACTACCTAGCAAGACCAAATAAGGACCAAAATAGGACCAAAGCTGAAACCAAAGTTTCCTAGCATGCAGGAAGCCCTGGGTTCCAACCCCAGCACACATAAACCAGATCTATCAGCCCAGAACTCTGGAAGTTCACGCAGATGGGAAAATCAGTACAAGGCCATCCTCTGCTACATAGTGAATATGAATCCAGCCTGGGCTATAAGGCAAACAGGCAGCCAGGAGGGAAGGAAAAGAAAGTCAAAAAGGACAGTGAGAGAGAAAGAAAAAGACATTATCTATAAGGACCATCACTGTGTCTAGGTATATGGAGAGATTCACGGAGGGTTGCTGAAGGCCAGGATGCTGTGGAAAGAGAGCCTTTTATGGAACATGCACACTAACTGCACAGTAGCTGATGGTGCCTGGGAGGTGCATTACTGGATTCAGTGATAGAGATGGGTGTAGGTCATTGGCTACTATAAACAAGTCACTGGGCATTCCTTGTTGAGTTGGTACTGTTGTGGTTCTAATGGTGAAGGTTGCTGTTGGTTGGTGGAGATTGGTGCTAACAATGGTTCTCATGGGTGGGTTGGAAGTGGTGGTCATCTATGATGACAGCTGGTGTTTAGTTTTATTATTTTTTAGCATATTTAAAATTTATTTTCATTAAAAGAAAAAAATAAAGTAAAATTTTTCTATATTTTATTTACACAAATAAAAAGGTCAAGATATTAAGAAAAAAAAGAAATTTTTTTTGGTGCCTTTGACCTGGTTTCTCCTTCCTCTGTTCCTATTATTTGTAGATTTGGTCCTTTCATGGTGTCCCAGATCTTTTGGATTTTTTTTTTTTCATTTTTCTTTATTAAGAAATTTTCTACTCATTCTACATACTACCCACAGATCCCACCTCCTCCCTCCTTCCACTCCTCAGCCCTCCCTCACAAGCCACCCCACATCCCCACATCCCCCAAATCAAGGTTTCCCATGGGGAGTCAGCAGAGCCCAGCACACTGAGCCTAGGCAGGTCTAAGCCCCTTCCCACTGCACCAAGGCTGCACAAGGCGTCACACCACAGGCACCGGATTCCCCAAAGCCTGCCCATGCACCAGGGACAGATCCTGATCCCTCTGCCTGGGTGCCCCCCAAACAGTTCAACGATCTTCTGTATCCAGAGGCCTAGTCCAGTCCCATGGGGGCTCCACAGCCACTAGTCTACAGTTCATGGGCTTCCACTAGTGTGGACGGTCATCTCTGCACGTCTTCCCATCATGATCTCAATGTCCCCCACCTGCAGAATCCCTCCTCTCTCTCATAGATTGGATTCCTGGAGCTCAGCCTGGTTCCTGGCCATGGATCTCTGCATCTGCCTCCATCAGTCATTGGACAAAGGCTCTCTTAGTCCAATCAGGGGCTGGCAAGCTCTCTGGTTTTGTTATTTTTTAAGACATATTTCTGTTTTTATTTATGTGTACACATCAGTGTAATTGTATGTCATGTGCATGCCTATGGAGGCCAGAAGAAGGTTTCAGATCCCCTTGAGCTTGATTGTGAGCACCATGTGGGTGCTGGGAACTCAACTTTCATCCTCTGAGAAAATATCAAGTACTTTTAACCACTGAGCCATCCCTTCAGACTCTGCCAGTATTTGGTGCTTTAAGTCAGGGTCTTGTCTCAAATCTATGATATAGACAAGAATGACCTTGGAAATCCAATCCTCCTGTCTCTGCCTCCCAAGAGCTAGGATGACAGGCATGATTCACCATGCTCTGCTGTATATAACACTGGAGATGGAACCCAGGGCTTCATGCATGATAGGCCAGCACTCTACCAGCTGAGCTCATCCCCAGTCCGTTGTTTTTTGAGACAAAGTCTCATATGCCATAAGTCATCCTTGAACTCACTATGTAGCCAAGATGATCTTAAACTCCTGATCCTCCTTCCTCCACTTACTGAGTGCCGGAGTTACAGTCATGTGCCACCATGCCGGAATAGCTGGTGTTTAATATTAGTCATTGATTGTTGGTTGTTTTCAGCAGGAAACTGACTATGCTGGTTATTTGGAGCTTGAAGGGTTAATACTCATTTGCTGTTGGTTGTTCATTGTTAGTTTCTAGTAATGGTGATCTAGCAATTCACTATTAGATTTTGGATGAGATATGGTTATGTGTGGTTGTCAATGTCTGTGTATGCAGTGTATGTATAAGTTGTATGTGCTGATCGACCACATGTGAAGACCAGAGAATAACACCAGATGTCCTTCTCTGTTGTTCTCTTGCTTGAATTGGATCTCTCATTGAATCTGAAGTTAGGCTGTCAGCTAGATGCCTTTGTCTCCACCTCTGTAACACTGGGGTTCTAGGTGGCTTTGAGACCATGGCTGGTTTTTTGTATGAATGCTTCTAATTCAAATTTGGGTCCTCATGCTTGTGTGGCAAGCACTCTTATTAAGCCATCTCCCAGCCCCTCAGTGTGAGTTTGTTCTCACATTGATTTATTTTGGGATGGGGGCATATGTAAAGGTCAGAGAACAACTTGCAGGGGTGGATTCTCCCCTTCCACCGTTTGGGTACTGGAAATTGAACTCAGGTGATCAGATTAGGCAGCAAGCACCTTTACCTCTCAGCTATCTTTCTGATATTATTGTTTTGTGGTTGTTTGTTATTGTTGTTGGACACTCTTTATTTATTTATTTATTTACTTATTTATTTTTGTTCAACCTAGCCTCAAACTCATGATCCTCCTGCCTCAACCTCCAAAATGCTGGGATGGCTGGCATGCATCATCACTTATGTCTGTTTAATGTTGGTAGTGGTTAGTTGATTTTGGTTGATGGTGAGGGTGTCGAGGCTGGCGGTTATAAGCAATGTTAATGGTGGAATTGTTGGTTGTTTCTGTTTGATGCATTGACTCGAAAGATTATAGCAGTTTCTGTTTGACTTTGTGGAGTGTGAGGGGGTGGGGGCAACTTTTGTTTGGTAACAGTGGTGACTTGAGGGTAAAGGTGGTTGCTTTGAAGATTGAGGCACAAAGTGAAGCAGACAGAGCTGGAGATGTGGTTTAGTGGCAGAGCACTTGCCTAGCAAGTTCAGGGCCCTAGGTTCCATTCCTAATACCACAAAATCAAACAAAAAGGAATAACGGGAAACTATAGAGATGGGTCAGTGGTTAAGTGGTGCTCTTGCAGAGGACCAGAGTTCAGTTCCCAACACCCACATCAGGTGCCTTAGGACTGCCTGTAGCTCCAGTTCTAGGGATTCAACTGGCCTCCATGGGTACCCACATGCAAGTGTGCACACACACTGCACAAACACGTACAGACACATGTATAAAAATGAAATAAATCTTTTGTAAAAACCAGAAGGAACAAGGAGG